AGAGAGAGAGAGAGAGAGAGAGAGAGAGAGAGAGAGAGAGAGAGAGAGAGAGAGAGAGAGAGAGAGAGAGAGAGAGAGAGAGACACAGTGTATCAGCGATTGTTGCTGTGCGCCACAGCGTAGCCGTGGCAGGGTCCACTTGTTATTATTATTTTTACCCAACTGAAAACGACCACCCCCCACATTTCACTTCTTTTTTGTTTTTTTAGTTGATTCTTGCGGGGGAGGCCATGCGCTGGCGATGCAAGCGCCCCAATTTTGGGCGCGCGGCTGCACCTGCACGTGGTGTGGCCGCGGAAATAGTCGGCCGCGCCGAACTAAGGCGCGTGGCGCGGCCGCGGAAATAGTCGGTCGTGCTGCCCGCGTGGCCTCGGCCGCAGCCATGTGGGTCACATAGCCGCTGGGCCAGATACAAAGTCCTGGTTGTAATCTGATCGAAGGGTTGCTGCGTTTGCAGACTCCCTTGTGGTGGACATGCCCAGTTTCGAGGATCAAAGCATAATTTCACACCTGCTACAGGACCTGTTCTGCTTATTTTTGGGGTGTGGCCGGAATCTGGGTCAGAAGAAAGAGGATATGACAGGCTGGTGATTTTTTATTTTCTATCCTGGCATATGAGACCACCTCCCATCCCATCCTCACATCAGTACCCTAGCACACCCCCTATCCCACTATCCTGCCTCAGTGTGACCAGCACTCAGGACGGCGTGACCGCGGAAATAGTCGGCCGTGTCGAATTGGGGCGCGCGGCTCCGCCTGCACGTAGCGAGGCCGCGGAAATAATCGGCCGCGCTGCCCGCGCGGCCTCGGCCGCAGCCATGGGGGTCATATAGCCGCTGGGTCAGATACAAAGTCCTGGTTGTAATCTCCTTTTTTTTTTTTTTTTTTTTTTTTTTTAATGGCTCCGCTCTATTGGTGGGGAGCTGCACCTGCTGGAAACCGGGTCCAGCGTCCCATTGACAAGATAATTAGGCAATAGTTGGTACCTCTTCACCCTCCTTCTGGGGGCGCCATATATTATCCTTCTGCATTAGCACCACTTACTATCCCTAAGGTCAAGATCACTTACTTAATCTAAGCCATACCAACTCAAAGGAACCAAGCCCAAAGGTGATAATGGGAATAGGTCAAGGAAGTCTGATAATGGCCTCAGAGGGATCGAAGGACCCACAGTAGTCCAATGATGAAATGATAGTTGATAGATCCTTCTGGATTCTGGCTGTCCCCCTTTCTTGTTCACTCTTTTCTCTCCCATCCACTTTATCACTCCCACCTTTCCTTCCTTGGTATCCCCCAGCCAGTCACTGCTGAATTGTTGAATGTGACGGTCAATTTCCGATTGGATCGATAGATATTGAATCTTTTCTTTGACCTTATCCCATTGAGCCAAAATCTCAGTTTGAATCTGTTGTTTTATTGAATCAGTGAATTCTGGGCCTTCAAGCCTAACTCCTTCCATTTTATTCGTACATCGTCGTGCCAAAGGCCCCATAAGATGGCTCTCCTTCCAACCTTATAAAGATTTTGAGAGAAGGGTTGCTGCGTTTGCAGACTCCCTTGTGGTGGACATGCCCAGTTTCGAGGATCAAAGCATAATTTCACACCTGCTCCAGGACCTGTTATGCTTATTTTTGGGGTGTGGCTGGAATCTGGGTCGGAAGAAAGAGGATATGACAGGATGGTGATTTTTTATTTATTATTATTATTATTATTATTATTATTATTATTTTCTTAAGTCCAGGGTGTTGTAGAGGCCATTCACTGAGTGCACAGTTATCACCTGGAGCTGTGAGGCGCAGGTATCTTGGAATATGAGACCACCTCTCATCCCATCCTCTCATCAGTACTCCTAGCGCACCCCCTATCCCACTATCCTGCCTCAGTGTGACCAGCACTCAGGACCATTGTCCTACCAATGGGCAGGCAACTTGGACCGAACAGCAGTGATAGGCACCTGGCTGATAGGTTGTCCAGCCCTGGTGGAAGCAGAATCGGACGAGCCTAGTCAAACGGGAACTTCGGACGCCAGGCCCAGACAATGTGCTACAGGCCCCAAGAGACTATAGGTTCAGACAGGGTAGCACCCACTTAAGCAGTCTTACCGTCCTTCCCCTAGCTTACCCAAGGCCAGGCGGAACTCGGACTGACCTGAGTGACTTATATCCTTACCCTTACGCTAGGGTCTAAGGCTAATAACTTATAATCAGTATTAACCACAGCTTGCTGTCTTTCACTATTCACAACTTGACGTCTCAATACAGTACTGAAGTTTGAGGAAAAGTGGCTTGCTTTTAGACCAGATACTCCCATCTCTCACCTTCCGCTTGACCCTCTTAACTGGGGTTGGTCACTCCCTGGGAAACGAGGTCATTTACACCCTAGGAAATTACATACCCTCACAGTTAAGGCTTCCTACAGGATGCTCCGCCCCACGTTTAACTTAAAAGATCGCATTGAAGAAAGATGGCATAAGAATCTTAATGTTAGTAAGGAAGAGTTGAGAAATATTGAGTGGTTCCAAGCGTCCGAAACTAGACCTGCCAAAATTGCTTCTCTACAGTGGCAAATTGTTCATAGATGTCTTCCCACGAATGACTGGATTATTGACAGGTCTTCCCTTGAACAGAAAGACATTAACCTCCCATGGTGTAAATTTTGTAAATCAGCTTTCCCATCCAAACTCATCCCCAAAACTATAGAGCATATTTTCCTCCAATGCCCCGGGTCAATCTGGCTTTGGAGATGGTGGGACAGGATCTGGAACCAAATGGAGACTTCTCACCCTTGGCCTTCGGATTGGAAAGCCCTCCTATTAGAATCATGGCATCCGGACCAAGTGGACGACTGCACATTCAATCTATTCGTAATCGGCAGGAGAGAGATCATATGGGCAATATGGACAAAGAGGTGCACTTACGAAATGGAAGGTGCGCGTTTGGACGGACCAGAATTCACTGAAACCATCAAACAGCAGATTCAAACTGTATTAACTATTAAATGGGAACATGTTAAGGAAAGAATCCAGTTCCTATCAGTTTATAACGAGATCTGGCTCCATATTGGCTGGGAGGTGACCAGGGTGGGAGGCTGGGGAAGGTAATTTGGGAAGGTGGACACGCAAATGCTCAGGAACCAATTAAGAGGAATTACCAGATTATTTTTAACGATTGGATTACTGTTGACACCTCTATCCCTCTAAGACCCTTCTCTGAATTCCTGATTTCTCCCCCCCCCCCAAGTAATTGTCTTGTGCCTGTTGCTTGGTTTGGATAGACATCTCCAGAATTGGAAGGAAAGGGTTATTATGTACAGGTTTGATGGAGACAAGTGGTAAAGTGCTTGGTAGTCAAGATTGTTTGGCGCCCGTAAGGGTGAAGAGGCACTAGACTAGTTCATTTTGCTGTCCTCCCTGTTGTTCAATGGACACCAGAGCAATAGTGCAGAATTTCTTGGAAGGAAGCTGAGACCTTTCCTCAGCATGTTATGTTTTGGTACTTCCGGGTAGACTGTGAGGACCCCGGCCTCAATCTTCACATTGGAAATGTCAGCCTTGGGCACTGGGCCCCTTAAAAAAA